ACGATGGCTTTTTCGTCCGCCAAGATTTTGCTGAGCTGATCTTGCATGAAAGCGTACCCGATGCACATCCGAGCCAATTTACTGATCCCTTTATACACATCATTATTACGTTCACCCTGGCTTTTCCGTAGATCTATATAACAGTAAAACACATCGCTGCCGTCTATACTCAATACCTCGTTGCCGGTCATTTTGATGGTGGTTTTTCTTGACGATGGCACGGACGATATTCCGCACGAGTTCACATTTGTCGTTGTCAGAAGTCAATGTGATGTTAAACTCCAGTCGAACCATGCCGGGAATGATAAGGTCATTCCCACCCAGGTTGGGAAATCGAACCAACAGTGTTTGGTTTTGATCTATCTTGCTCGGACTATTGGTGATAGTCACCAACTGATGCACGGCTTTGGCGCCCAGAGGCTCTCTTAATCTTCGGAAAGGATCTAACTTTCTTCCATATTGTGACATTGTTATATACGTAAAATATAAAAGTTTAATATAATTAATATAATGGATGATATTCCGATGGATGATTTGGGAGGTAATGCGCTCGATGATGGGGATTACGTTGAAGACACCTCGTTTACCTCGTTTGCAAGCTACAATGAACTCCTCAACCATCAACGATTATTACGGCGATTTAAAAAACGCGATAAAACTTACGTCGAGCCACTGTACCCAAACTATTCCAAGTTTGTTATCGATAACAAGTGCATGCTGCGATTGATAGCCGATCCAAAGATCGATCTAACGAACATGCGCATAAGAAAACCGCTCCCTCTGTCAACGCTGGTCGGAAAACACGGTGCCCAATTCGTTCACAATTAAGTAAACATGCGAGATTATGCTGGCGCATGACCAAAACAACTTCCAAAACAACTTCGCAGATCAACCGCGTGCAGCATTCTGACGGCATTGGGCTTCATCATATCGCCCCTGGTCGTATCGCTGACGGGTGGCAGTGGCATACCAACACCACCACCAACGCAAGGTGGCGACGTCAGAGACTGGATAAAAAACCATCTCAAATCGCTCGGCGAAGCCCTGGCTAAACTTGCGGGTAAAGCCCCTGAAGCGCTTCCCTGAATCCCGGGTAGCATCTTCTCGTTGCTACTTAGTACGCTGTCCAAAACTGTCACGTGGCTCGGCCAAAACCTGTGGGCAGCCATCGTCACCATGGCGGGTCTTGTGTACGTCGCGGCTAAGGAATTTTTAAACAAATGACGCACAATCCAACCGCGATCCCCTCGATCACCAGCACTGTTTTACTATCGAAGTGTTCTTTATTTTCAACCACCGGTGAAAGGGGCTGTGGTGGTTGTGGTTGTGGTCAAACACCCCTAGGTTTCGGGGATGATGCCACTATGCCAGTTTCACCGCTCATCGTAGGCGTGATGGTTAAGACGTTGATATCTGGGTTGATACCCAACTTTTAATTGGCGGTGGTGATGATGATTTCGTTGTTGTAGCCCACGACTTCAACATGGATCCTCAGTTGCTTGTCGCTCGGAGCCATATAGAATCCCGCGTTGAACATGTAGTCGACTTTCGACCGGGTGTATTCCAACACGTTCTGGTAGCAATTGATTGCACTCTGTAGATCAACTGGAGCATTAATAACATCCATTAGTACTAGCTTTACTAATTAGGAAAAATAGAAAAATTAAGGGAATGAAAATAGGAAATATTCAAAGTTTACTTGCCCAATTTGCTGATGACACCACAGTAACCTTGGATGGATCAGAATCAAGTCTCTACGCAGTTTGGAACACATTGGCTTTCTTTGCAAGATGTTCAGGGTTAAAAGTAAATACAGACAAAACTAGGCTGATATGGATAGGATCCAAAAACAATCTAGGTATAAGATGTGCAAAGAATAGAATCTAGACTGGATGCAGTCAAACTTTAGAGTTATGAGAATAGACTTTGATGTCGAGCTAGACGGTATGATAGACCTCCACTATAAAGACAAACTTGAAAAAATCTACAAAGAAATGAACCTCTGGTCCTTAAGATATATGACACCAATGGGTAGAAACACTATTCTATAATCTTTGCTATTACCAAAACTAAATCATCTCTTTTCTTCAATTCCAAGCGCACCGGACGATAAAATACAAAACTTTCAGAACAAATGCTTCATGTTTGTGTCGCAATGAAGAAAGGGTAAGGTAAAACGAAAAACCATGTTTGAAAAACCCAAGAATGGAGGCATTAGCTTACCAGATATAAAAAATACTATATATGCGCAGAAACTAATGTGGATAAAGAGGCTCATTACCGAAAATTCAAAATGTATCTCTATTGCCAATGTATGTATACTTGATAGGATTAAGTTATGTTATGCTGATACAGATTATGTATGCAACTATATATCATGCCAAATATTACAAATCCTTTTTGGAAAGATACATTATTGGCACGGTGTTACTACCTAAGAAACTGTTATTCAGAGGTAAAAGAAATTTCAGAAATTCTCCGTCAGTCTCTATGGTTCAACAATAATATACAGATAGAGGGAAAATGTGTTTATTATGAATACATGGCCAAACAGGGAATACATCTTCTTAAAGATATTCTTGACTATGATGGGAATTTCCTACAAAAAGCTGAGATAAAAAAATAAATATGGAATGCCCAAGATAAACTTCTGCATTTAGAGGGTATAAAATGTGCTGTGTTGGCGTACTGCAGGTCTAAACATATATCTGATATAGGAAAAACCAGTTCAGAATTCCAAAACCCAATATTACCGTTTAATATCTCTTGTATATGTGGAAAAAAACAAAGGAGTAAAGCTTTTTATAATACTCTCTTGCCACAAAGTCACGTCAATCCCAGTGGTCAAAATAAATGGGAGGACATTCTGAAGCAACATTATAACAAAGAAGAGTGGACAAATATTTCTTTAATGGCAAACAGATGCACAGAGAGCGTACAGTTAAGATGGTTTCACTTTAAGATCACTCATAATATTTTAATGACTGAGTACAGGTTACATTTAATGAAACATACTGATTCACCCATGAGCTTTCTTTGAATCCACTCCTGAAACGATAATACATCTATTATGTGAATGTCCATACACTGTAAAAATATGGAAGGAGGTGTCCTGATGGCTTGATATATTATCCGAAGGAAGTATTAACCTTTCTACTGAAAATATATTATTTGGCTGGAAGGGCAAAAATAATAATCCACTAAACGTGGTCTTTCTTATTGTGAAATATACTTTATATAAGATGAGTTTGAAAAATATGAAGCCAAACTTTCAATATTTTCAGCGGGAAATATTAAACTGTTATAAATCCACCAAATACATTGCCTTTTCAAACGCGAGGCAAACACAATTTTTTACTTTCTGGTCCTCCTTCCATACACTATTTTCGAATATCATTACTCATGATGTATCTATATAAACAATCGCAGTATATACATGCGGGTATATGCATGTATGTATATGTGTGTATATATACATATGTATATGTGTATGCATGCGTATGCATGTGTATATGCATGTGTATGTATGTGTCCGTAGATGAATATGTCTATGTGTGTAGAAGTATATATTATCACATAAGTACATGCACTTAAGGTATATATAGATGAATTATATGTATGTATATGGAACAGTGTCCCTATTGTATATCAGCTAAGTTATGAATACGATTCATGATCACTGCAACTACGCAGATTTATTACTATACATACTACAGTGTTTACAAAACTGAAAATAGCAGAAATCAAATACTGTAAAATGAGATATGTCTATCGCTTGAAAGTGGTGTGTAACGCAAAAACTGTAATCTATAACATGTAAAAATTGCATTTGATTCTGAAATACGATGTACAACATACTGATGGGAAATAAAAATACTTTTTAAAAAAGTAAAAAATTAATAGCATCCACAACGTTGGAAACGAACTGTTTCTGCACATCGTAAGCAGTCCCTTACCCACGATCCTCGAACGCATTTGCATCTGAGCGCCCAGCACGGCCTACACGTACGTTCGAATCGTACACCGACACGAGTAAAACCTTTCGACGTGTCCAGCATGAACATGTTCTAATCGTCCGCCGGTCCCTGCTCAAACCTCTGTCACTTTGTAATATTCTTTTACCTTCAAACTGAATCACACTATATGTGAGTAGCCACTGTGCATTATATAGCTTCTTTCAAAGCAATAGAAAGGTAAAACCAGAACATACTTCTGTTTATATTTTTATTTTAAAACAGCAGGGATCGACACTTACTAAAAAATTTAACTAGTCCTCCGGGCTAGTGGATTTTGTATGTCACTAGTCCTTTCAGAAATTACTAGCCGTACACTTGACTATAAACAATTTCCATCAAGTCTTTCTTTTAATTGTAACTGCTGTCCAAAGGAAAGTTAACACAGAATAAATGTATGATTTCTCATTTCATATATGTATATGACAAATTCAACTGAAACTGGCTTACATCATGTCCTCCATATACCCAACCATTCTATTTATATACTTTAACTTCTTTAGACAGCAAAGGATTTTGAATTTCAAATAATATAAACAGTCTGAGCTTCTGTGCACATCTGTATTACTCAAAAACAAATTAATTAAAGTCACAATCATGTGACATGATCTTGAAGTGCACATTCTAATTAAAACAATGATTTGTGCACCTATGTCTTTGAATAAAAGTATTATTAACATTACCTTTTTCATCATGAATAACGTTGGGTAAACTTTCTCATAAAGAAATGATTTAACAAAGCACTCAAGATGGGCAAAAGTCTCTCTGTATTAGGTAAAGTAAACTTTTTTAGACGGAATAGAATAATGAACAAACATTGAAACATGAGAAACATAACCTTATAATAAGATAGAAGCCTACGTTTGTCAAGGAAAATATCAGCTCGTGAAACATTATTGCTACTACTTGGCATACACCATTTGAATTTTTCAGGTCTAATCCAACTGTTGATAAGTGTAGACGCAAGAATGACAAATCACCAAGAACTCGCATCCACAGGGTTTTATTCTTTGATGGTAAACAATGGTACGTTATGCGTTGATGTACGGTGACAAATGTAAAATACACGTTGGACGTTGGTCGTTAGCCATAGTGTGAAAGGATATAGACGAGTGGATGAGTGGATGAGGTTTGGAAAACTAGAATAAACAGAAACAATTTGTAATATAATTTGACTATAAAATACAATGCATTGACAAAATATCATCTAAATTCATGTTTAAAACTTTGAAAACCTTTGAAGATTATTTGAACACTTTAAGAAAATATTGCATGTAACAATAACATTATGAGGCCATGAACTTCAAAGAAGACTATTAAACATTATATTTATACAAAACAGAATAGTAACTGTGACATAATAAAGATGCAAGACTTACATTTGTGTTTCTGTGTGCTACATTGATATTAACAGTCAGAGGAGACCTCTTGACGCTATGGAGGCTGCTACCACACTGAAGCGTGGGGTCCCAGTACCACATGTGCTTTTATGGTCACATGACGGGAAAGTGTTTCTATGGGATATGAAACATAACAAATCTGCAATGTTTTTATTAGAAAGCTGGGATTGAACCCTAGCTGGCTGGGTTACTAACAAGGGAGGTAATAGCTGATACTAGGATGAAGTAAGAGCTGCACTGTGCTACGGAGACTGTACACATTAGGAAGACATTTATAATGCATGAAATATGCAAATGAAAAATATGTGAAAATATCTGCAGGAGGGAAATGTGCACAGAAAAAATGAAACATATGTGTCTTGCATTAACAATAACATTTATTCCCGGAGTGGCCCTTCCCACAACCTGTCTGACGACAACGCCACGCTACTGTGCCATTCTTGTTTTCCTTCTTCTTGTTATACCTGAAACCCTCCATCAAAATATCAAGTCCATTTTGTCTACCAGGAACAATCTCTCCCTTCCGAGCCATGCCTGATGACCAACAATCACCCATAAGTCTACTTATAGCAAAATACAAGAAAAGGATAAACACACACACACAAAATTGAAGATAGATTATTACACAGGCTTCCTCCTCAGGCCAGCAGTTAACAACATTCAAATGAAAGATACATTATTACCCCAACCATTAATGGTAACTAGACTCTTAGTACTCTGAAGTTACCACCTTCTACTCCCAGTAGCAGATTAGCTCTTTGTTTAGACAACATTCACACCTTCATAACAGCATCAGCCTCCACCTTCTACTCCCAGTAGCAGATTACCTCTTTGTTTAGACAACATTCACACCTTCTTAACAGCATCAGCAGCTACCTTCTACTCCCAGTAGCAGCTTATCTCTTTGTTTTGACAACATTCACACCTTCTTAAACGAGTTGTCCCGTAGTGGCCCCTGAATTTGGTTGTTACGTTAGAGACAGAGGGGCCACTCTGGGAATACACCGTTGATAAATACAAAAGTTAATATTAACTTACCGGTATTGTTCAAATAATACAACTTCAACTTAAACAAGTTTATTTCTAATAAATAAAAAGGTTTACACACTCATAATGTCCAGTTAAACCAGGAAGGAGACGAAAACTCCCGCTACTTTAATACATTTGTAAAATGTCATAATATCCTCTAACCTGTTTATTATATATTTTCATTTTTACGTAATCAGCAAATTATTAACTGAAGATTAATTAATAAAAAAAATATGTGTGGTGGCCTATTTCCCGATAGCCGTGGCTTTTCGCCTGGTAACACGACTCAACATTGGGTAATGCCTCCATTTTCTAAGCTCCATATGAATAACACACGACAAGATTCATTTGATGGCGGGTATCGTTCGAATGCTCTAATCATCAATAATATCACAATAACCTTACCAGGAGTATTTTCGCAGTTATTTTATTGGATAATAAATGGTTCAAAATGACGCTTTTTCGCCACAGGCTGGCATAAGGTTCGTGATTGGTAAAGATCATGCACGTAACGTAAGGCAGCCAATTATATTACAGCAATGGATACCGTCCTAGTTTTGGGTACAATGATGCTATTCTGAATGTGTTAAGCAGGACATCCCCATAAGTACATAAATTGTGGAACGTATTGGACGTATCGTGCTAGGTGGCGACCTGTGACAAATATTCTTTATGCAATTTGTTTCACATTAAACATTGTGTCGGAGCCTGAAGATCGAGGCGACGAAAGCCGAGATGCCATTTAACTTGCATGACATGATCGCACGGAATGATGGAAATAGTAAGAAACGTAGATGTACGTTTGACAACTTTTATGAAAACTGTAGATTTTACTCATTAGTTTCTTCAATTTTAATGATTTCCTCGAAACATCGATACTTTCATCCCACCCCTCACCTCCCACATCAACTTAACTCCATCCCCATAAATTTTGGTATTGATTTCGACTCCCTCGTCCGCAATCAACAAAACAACAAATCAACCACCCCCTCCCTCATAACCCCAAAGCAACAAATCCAAATCCACCAAACGCCCACACATTTCACCCACTGAAAACCAATCTAGCAAAAACAATGTGACAAAAGCTACCCCCACCTCAACCCCAAGAAAACAAACTTATCCTCCTCGCCTTTGCTACAAACACCCACACGCCACTCCAACCACACTTACTCAATAAACAAATTTGCACTTTGCCTCAAACAATACAACATACAATACAAATACATAAATAATTAGCGGACGGGCTTCAAAATCCACATTCACAGACCAACAAGCACTAAACAACACCTTAAAAACACACTCATCGACGGCAAACAAATAAGTTGGCAATATCCACGCTGGCAGACATCCATCCAAGGCATTATATACATAGACACTAGAGAAAGCTGGATCAGATATCCCGAACACTACATCAGCATCGCAAACACCATCCCAAACCAACCAAAATCACAAACTATAGAACTATCAACAACAGACAACCCCACCACCTACAACCCCAACACACAAAACAACCTTCCACATTTGACACCACTACTCTTCCCACCCACATTACATTTGGCGCCCTTACTCTGCAAAGTACATCAACACGCAAAACCCACAACAATACAAATACTGTTTTTCATACACACACATCTCAAACTCATGTAAGCTCCCAATGTTATGCCCAAAATGCGGGTCGGACACACACACTCTCGATGAATGTCGCCAACAGAAATTCTGCATTCACTGCAACACATCCGGCCACACCGCTACACAAAATACATGCCCCATCAAGCAAAAACACATCCTCAGGCTAAACAAACACATCAAAAACACCGACTTGCCAAAACCAGCACGCACACTACTTTCATATCACTCCATCCTCTCAGCCAGCTCATCCTCCCTATGCTTCCTCTACCCCAAACTCATCACTCTACCACCCCACCACCACCAAACCCACAAAACAACGTGCCCCCAACCAACCACCAAACCTACTCGCCCCCACCCACCCATCCAAACAAACCCCCATCATACCCACCCCTAAAACCGCCACCAACCGCCACCCCTGACAACCCCTCCTCCCCACACACCCACCCCAAGCTTGGCCAGTCTACTCATCGCCCTCAAAAAAACCCTCTAAACAACAAACCTCTAAGCTACTCTAGCACCAAATTTCCATTTTTCAAAATTCATGCCCCACGGCATGGCATTTATAAAACCCATATTCCTAATTGCAGTAATCATGGCACTTATACAGTGGAACTGCAACAGTCTCCGAGCCCATGGGCATGAGCTCAAGGCACCCATTGCCCATAACAAAATTTCACCCGACATCATAGCCCTGCAAGAAACAAAATTATCCCCCAAAACCGCCTTCAAATTACCAGGCTACAATTTTATTCGTAAAGACAGATCTCGGCCAACTAACTGTCCCGGCCCCCCTGCAGGAGGGCTGGGGATTTTCATTGCAGAGGAACTAAACTATAACATATTGCAAATTCCTGTACAAAATCTCGAAGTCCTGGCAATATCAACTAAAATGAATAATAAAGACTTAACCATCATTAATGTCTATAGAAGACCAAATTTCAAAATTACCACCCAAGATTTGGACATTCTGGAAAAATTTATAAGTCCCCAAACCATTATCCTCGGTGACTTTAATGCACACCACCCACTGTGGGGCACAAGACCCTATACTGACTCAAATGGCACCCGCCTTACTGACTGGCTAAGCACACACAACCTTAACTCACTCAACGACAATCAACCCACCCGCTACCTCCTCTCCCATCTACACTCCCCCACAGCCATCGACATCACTCTCACCACACCCAAAATTACACAAGCTTGTATATGGGAGGTCCACGACGACACCTGGGGCAGTGACCACTGCCCCATCAAAATCACAATCACATCACACATTCCCACCCACACCACACTCACCACAACCCCATCACAACCACCCACTGAACTAAGATTCAACATTGAAAAAGCAAATTGGAACAAATTCTCAACACTTTGTAAACAAATAGACACCACAGCCATTTTCAACACAGACATAAACACTTTCAACACAAACCTGACTAATACCATTCTAGACATCTCAGAAAAATGCATTCCAACTTTTCGATATAACCCTGCACAAAAAACAGTCCCCTGGTGGAGCTCAGAAATCATCAAAGCCAGAAAGGCAAGAAAAAAGGCCCTTAATCAATCAAAGAGGGACCCTTCGAAATTACACTTGGCAAAACAACTAAGAAATAAAACTAAGAAATTAATCGAGGCAGCAAAAAATGACCACTGGACAAAATTCTGCTCCACCCTTAAGCTAACTAATCGAAACTCTAGAACTATGTGGAAAAAATTTAATGCCATTAAGGGCATCTCAAAAAAAACTATTTATCCAAACCTTCCGGACCTAGCCACAAACAAAGATAGAGCCAACGCTTTCGCTGCCCACCTCTCGGCCGTCAGTAGCTCCACCAACTACCCACCTTCTTTTCAAAACACTATGAAAAGCAGCCCGCATTCACCCCACAACCACCACACACCGATCTACCTATAAACAAAATAAGAAATATACACGAACTCCAATCTGCACTCAGAAACAAACAGACAGCCTCAGCCCCGGGTCCAGATACCATTACATACACCATACTCAACAAATTAACACCTAACATGCAAAACTTAACACTTTCCCTCTTCAATCATATCTGGACCTCAGGTACTATCCCAAACTCATGGAAAACAGCCAAGGTGGTGCCAGTTCTCAAACCAGGGAAACCTAGAAATGAGCCTGATTCTTATCGCCTTATCTCCCTCACCTCTCATCTATGTAAAACTTTAGAAAGCATTATTAACAACAGGCTCAAACACCTTATATACACAAAAAATCTAATTAAGGAGGACCAGAGCGGCTTTACTCCAAACAGGCAAACTTTAGACCATATTTTACATTTGGAACAAGACATCAAGGTAGCCCATGCACAAAAACAATACACTATGGCCATTTTCATCGACTTTAGTAAAGCATTTGATATGGTATGGCAAAACGGCCTCATTCAAAAACTCCAAAAATATGCCATGAATGGCAGAATTCTAAATTTCATCCACTCTTTCCTTAATAATAGACAGATAATCCTCAAATCTCACAACACCATTTCGGACCCCCATCCCCTAGAACAAGGGACCCCCCAGGGCAGCATACTATCACCAACACTTTTTAACTTCATGATCAACGACATATTCCCAGAAAAATGGCCTGAAATTTCAAAAGACAAATTTGCCGACGATATTTCCTTCTGGACTTTTTCCACTTCTGTCAAACAAGCCTCTACAAAATGCCAAAAAATGCTTAACCATATTCAAAATTGGGCCCAACAGTGGGGGTTCCTCATTAATGTTAAAAAAACCGTGGGGATACTCTTCAAAACACAAAGAATGCAAAATTTCACACCAAAACTGCACCTAAATAACCAAAAAATTGAATTAAAAAAGGAAGCAAAATTCCTAGGAGTAACCCTTGACCAACATATGTCATGGACTCCCCACATTCATAACCTGGTCAATTCCTGTCAAAAGGATCTCAACTTAATGAGGGCCATCAGCGGCACAAACTGGGGCGCCAACAAACACACACTTATTAACATATACAAAACGCTCATACTGCCTAAACTGGACTACGCCGCACTGATCCTCCACTCCCTCTCCTCCTGTAACCTCCAAAAAATAAACTCCATCCAATATAAAGCCCTAAAATTAGCCCTAGGCACGAGGACTGGTACCCCCCTAAACACATTACTTCTACTCTCAGGCACCACTTCATTCACACAAAGAATCAACCAAACAACACTCACTTACTGGGCTGGGGCCCAACATAACCCACTATTTAAACTCGTCACACATAAATACTGCAACATTAAAAAATCAACACCCAAAAAATTCAAATTAAATCCCCTAAAAGCTCCATGCCTCTATTATGATATGGGTCTTGGGTCCAAGTGATGGTTCCGGTGAAACCCCTTATCTAACTGGCGTGCTGGTTTGCTTGGGGGAATTAGCTCAGCAAAGAGTCCGAAGTCACAAGAAGCTAATCACAATTTTATTTACAAGAACGGAGTAACATGGGCTGGCCACAGAGAGTCGGTACAACCCTCTGGGCTGAGGGCTAGAGCTGACCTGTGTTAGGAGTCTAAACCCTACTGCTGGACAAATGCAGTTAGAGACATTTTATCTACTATCAAAACAATAAAGAGATTACGATTGGTTCACTGATACAAAAAATGGGTGTAACCTACATTAGCCTATCAAATACAGAATATACAAAATGGGGTGTGTCCTTCAATGACCAGACAGGGCAATTACTCTTAATCCTGTTAATCCTATTTTAACTGGCACTAATCTCGATGGCACTTTTACTGGATGCTTGGATGCTTACCCTGGGCTATGATCTCAACGAGACTAATCTGATGTGTCAATTACAGGTGCTTGGATTACAATAGATTCATTTAATTGTCTGGTCATAACTCTGAATTACTGAAAGGATTGCTAACAGCTTGAATCCTCAGTACCTTAGGCTAGGATTTTTATCTTGAAATTGTGTCGCCGTAACTTATACCTTTTTCAATAATATGTCTGTGAGATGAGTTTTACAACTTTTGACTGGGGTCTTT